GCCACGGCACTCACTCTAGCCCGGGCAACAGAGCCAGACTCTGTGTCCAAAAAAAAAAAAAAAAGATGGCACCATGTAAAACGGACCTGCCACAAATTCTACGTCCAGTCTAACATAGCCATTGGCACACTGTCAATAACACCAGATCATGACATGACACAGAACATAAATAATAGTCTTAGTCTTGCAAGTTGTATTAAGTAGTCCCTTTCGATCTATTTGAAATAGAAAGCTGATACCACTCCGATTTACTTGCATAACCAGAGATGACGCGCAAAGGATATCTTGAATATTTAAGGATCCACAAAACTTAAGTTGTTCAAGTCAACTTGAAAATACTAAAATGATTTTCATAGTTTTCGTGGAGGAAAACACAACCTTCACTCTCTGAATACTATTCTTGACTTTGGGTTGTGGCCTTGTGTGGTGAATTTTTCCCTGCTCTCAGTGTAAGATTAATATAAGTGATTCTAGAAAATGGTGCCCCCTATTCATTATCCTAGACATCCACTGCTGTTGGGCTGGGGAATATCTGAACTATTGGAAAGCATTTGCTTCACAGTAGAGAGATGAGAAAAAGATCACAAATGGAAACACGAAATTACTAGTAAAATTATTTGTGTATAGATAATTCTAATAAAAGCCCTTCTTCAAAACTAAATATTCCTTCTTTTAAACAGATATCATGGTATTTTGTTTTTGTTTTTTTGGCCACATGAAAGAACATGAGAGTATAGACCTTAACAGAAAAGGAACACAAATTAACGTAAATGTACAAATATTTTTATCGTCCAAGGTATACCATATTGAGTCATGTTCTTCATGTTATTTAATCTTAGTATTTATTAAATGCTATAGTAATTACTTAAAATCTCCCTTTGGAGCTCTTGTGTGTTATATGTGTGTGTGTGTATGTAAATTCAACACCCTAAGCTCAAAATAACGGTTACCGCTCTGATTATTTACAGGGTCTACCAGCAGGTTTCAAACCCATCCAAATAAACATTTATAGAGCCTACTAATCACTATTTGAAAAAGAAGATAAAATATACTTTAGCATTTTCAACCTACTAAGGGTATAAGTGAACTGCTAACTACAGTGGCTTGCCCAGGGGCTTACTCTTTAATGACTCTGTTCATGAAAAGAGGATATCATAAAACCACCAACATGTTATTAGTCACCATTTCCTAATCGTTTGTCTTTAAAAATGTGTTTAAATTGTTTTAATTGGAGTACTTACTCTCCAGCTGTATTCAGGATAGGTGCAGGACAAAGCATAGAATTCAGCTGTACACTTACTGGTTTTACACCTAGAAAATAAAATGCCATTGAATTAATAAAGGGTTTTATGTATCACGCATAGTTTACATGAGAACTATTGCACAATCAGAGTACAAGTGTAGAGTATTACGTATATTAACATAAAAAAAATCTAAAGAAAGAGAAGAAAGAAAAAGGAATGAAAAATGAAAAGAGATTATACACTCCATTGAAATATAGTGTTGGTAAGTCACAAATTAGGATGTTTTAGACTTAGACTAAGTTCAAATACTGTTGCAGATACTGTAAAAATATCATCTTTTTCTCCTAAAGTTTTCAAATGTCTCAGGCTTTTAAGAATAATAGATTTTTTTAAAAGCAGAACTTAGACAAGATGAAGAAAGACGAATGTCCAAAGGAAAATGAACTTATGAGTTTAATAAAATAGTTGTATCTACAATAAATAAATACGTTGTATAAAGCTGAGTGCTTACAGTAACCTTGTAATTTTAGTAACATGAGAAAAATGATCTAGACTAGAAATATTCAGAGAGGTTACATAATCAAATGAATCATCTTAGAATGTAAAGGATGAAAATACAATTCTGACTTTACTTATTTGTTTGACGATTTAATGAGCTTAATCTTATGTAACTAGGCATAAAATATGTTTATATTATAATCAACTCAAATATATAATCCAAGGGAGTTAGGTAAAGCTAATGTTTGGGTACAAATGACTACTGAATAAAAATAAAATTATTTTGTTTTGTCATCCTCAGTTGTGGAACTGACTACAAGGACAGTTTGTTGTAACAAATGTTATTGTTTTGCCTTACCAAAATGGTAATCTCAAAAGGAAAGACAGGAATAAATTATGACATTTATCATGCTGAGAGCCCCATCAACATATGTGGCCAAAGCTATGCAAGTTGCTCCATTTATCACCACCAGATAAAAAGCAAAATTGAAAATGAATCTCTCAAAAAGTAACTGTATTATACAGTCCGATTTATAATATAAATTCTTGGAGGGTGGTATAATCATTCATAAGGAAAAATGTTTTAATAGAGACCCAAAATGCTCAGAATACTGACATCCATTTATAAGGGGGGGTATTTTTTCAGAATGGAAATCAAAACATACTCATATTCATCATCGAAACTTCTCTTTAAAAGTTGAGTCTAGGGAAAATTAAAACCCGGTTCCATAAATATGATAATTATCAACAAACACTGTGCTAGGTGGTCATTCGGATACAAAAAAAATCTACAACGCAAAAAAAAAAAACCGTCTTCAAGAAACCAACAAATTATCAGGAAATTAAAGAAGACAAGTGACAAAAAATAAGGAAACAAGTAGTAAGTCCAAGATAATTAGATTTCAAGACCAAAATGGGAAGAAATAAGTCTGTGGCAAGAGGCCACGAAACCAGGCAGTGGATGCCGTCCATACAGAGCACGGTCAGGAAAGCTGGGTTTAAACATCAGCTCTGTCCACTACTGGCTGTGTCGATACAGTCCAATCACTTTATTCTTTCAGCCACAAACCAACACTTGTGTAATGAGGCTACTTAGGACAGGATCCAGCATTTATTAAGTTATGACAAAGTGTTGCCATTATTAAATAACTATTAAATAATTACTATTTGTATTATCATTGATACTTTGTTTCTTCCTTCTCTGATTAAAAAACACAGCATGGCTGGTTTTAGCTGGAGAAAAGTGGAAAATACTCAATGCTGACGTGCTGTGCGGATAGTAAAGCAACACCCACGTGGGTGGGGACCTACTCTTTGTGTACGTTCCGTTCACGGTGTAAGTGCAGAGGGC